ATAGGATTATTCTTTTTCATACACCCTGTATGTTAATATAATATCATACTTTTTCAAATGCCAGTGTCCTTCATACCCAAAGTGTAAATTTTTACTAATCGGTCATCAAATAGCTTGACAGTCATTACTTTTCTGTAAAGGATAGAATTGTAGCGCTTTGCCTCCATTCAATTTATTTTTCCCCACCATTTATCAACCTCTAAACTAAATTCTCTCCATGGCTGAAGCCTGTGGATGAGATTTTATTCATCATTTTCCTCAAAATAAAAGTTTTAAACGCGTTAATAAATGAGTTCCCTGGAGCCTGACCGAGCAGGACATGAGCAGATTCAGCCTGGAGGCAAGGCCTTGAATAGAAAGAGCAGCGGAGAGCTTGATCTGTCTTTATGCGCTTTTAATTACACACGGCCGGATGGCCTTCAATCCCCAGAGAGCTGAGGTGAAGCTCACGTCAAGACCAGAAAGAGACGGGGAGAGGGGAAGGATCACCTGCACCTCTGAGGGCAGCGCGAGGTTAATTCAGCAGACACATTACAAGAGCCACAGGCGGCTGTCAATCATTCCACAGTATTTTGACTGACATGTAGTGAAAAAGACTGTCAGTTAGCAGTAGACTCACAGACCCTTATTCTGCATGGATTTACTGCCCGTGTTTTAGAACATGTATGCATATTTCCCCAGGAAGGAAAACCCTCTTTACGTTTCCAGTTTGTAGAGGAACCTCAGCTGAGTTAATGTGCTTATCTTTTTGCAAAAATGTAATGTTTCATTTTAATGATCAACTGGCAGGTAGCTAGTGCTCTGTAGTGGGTAATGTGAGAAGACATATGGTTTGTAAAACTGACTGATCAGAAAGACAACAGATAAGATCAAGTTAAGGCTAGTTTGTGTGTATTTGTGTGTGTCTGCTGCCCATATTCACATTAGACTGAATATGCTCATTCACGTGCAGCTATCAACAATTGCACGTCCACATAGATTCTCTGTTGAGTCCAATTTTCCCCATTACAGTATCCCAAATTGCAAATTCTCCCTGGTGGGCTTTACCATCTATACTGTTCTTTCTCGCTGTTTTCTCTCACACATTTACTTTCAAACACATTTTGTCAACACACATTCCAACAGTTCAGAGCACGCTGAACAGCAAGATCAGAGGGAATAAAACACTCACACAGAGAGTGCTTTTATGTATCGGAAACCCTCTTCATTCTTATGAATCTCACCTCCCAGAACTGTACTTTTCTACGAAATGAGTGCTATAACCTCAAGGCAATGTCAAGGTGAAGGAAACGTGTCAGCGCCTCCCTGTTGAGCTTTTTCTCGCTCCGGCTCTCTCCAGTTAATGACTCGAGTGTGGAGAGTGTTACCCTAGCTAGGCCTGGCCAGATGAGCCCAGAGGAGATGGCCAGACTGTAATCACAGGCAATCATCAGCTCTCTTCCTAGATCTCTGCTACTCTGGACTGAACGGTATGGTCCTAAACCCGTGATTTGAGCCGTAAGGTGAATGAGACCGAAGGACAGGGGAGGGAGAGGATAAACAATAAAGGTTTACACTATGAAGTACGCACAAGTGAGAGATTATAGTGATGTTCATGGTCTTTATTTGGTGTGTTAACATGCTAAAACACAAATTTTATTTGAAGACAGGTATTTAAATGTGGTTACATTTTGACTGGAGGGGGGGGGTTACATGAAAAAGTCCTTATCACCAAGACACGAAATTCTTTAAAATCTATTAAATATTGCCTAGAGAGCAGTAGGCCCGGGTTTGAGTCTGACCTGTGGCCCTTTGTCTTCCCCTTTCTGTCATCACTTTCCCATCTATCTACAATGTCTCTACCCAATAAAGGCTAGAAGGCCAAAAAAAATCATCTTTAAAAAAAAAATAAGAAAAGAAAATCCATTTAAGAGTTGCTCAGACTTTTATAGTAAATCTGGGACGAGTGAATGCCAAGGAAACACCAACATGGTGTGAATTCACAACGATGAGTATCTGTCTGAAATTTCCTGGCAGTCAGTTCAAAGGTGTCTGTAGTGGTAGACCGATCAGTTAACCAACGGATCAATAAAAAGCTGTATGAGTAAGTAAGACAGTCTGGGGGGAAAAAAATGAGGGTTGCAGTGCAAGTATGAGAAAATGTCCATAATAATTAGTCATCGTAGCTGCAATTTGACTCAATCTTGGTTGGTCCACCGCTGATAACTGCGAAAACTTAAATCGTAATGACATTGGCCTTCTTCTGACTTTCTCTAGTGCAGAGAATTCACAGCACCTGAGTGGGTGTAAAATAAACAATCCACCCCTCATTCAAGAAATCTTTAAACTCCACACAAACAAAAAAAAGAAAGATCCACAAGCATGTCTCACTGCAGGTCAGTAAGAAGACTACAGAAGGTAACCCTGTTAATAAATAAATAAATAAAATCATGCAGCTTGACGTGGTGGGTCCAGGGACTGTGACTTCAAAATCCTCGAGGCTAAAACTAATGGAGTTCTGCTTCTTCCAGCTTGTCTGTCTCTCTTCATCAAAACACAACAACCCCCACATAGCCTGCAGCACTGATAGTAATATGCGATACAGAATGGTTGTTCGTTTAATTTTACAGCCAGGCATGCTGGTGTCACTCAAAAAAAAAAAAAACCCTGAAAAAATAGTCTAATCTACCTGGACTGATGGACAGAAAGAGCCATGTTTTTGCAGGCATGCCAGCTCTGTCTTTGGAGCTGTAAACTTTTACATGTCAGTGGTGCTGTGTGAGAGAAAAGCCTTGGACTTTTTGTCTCCTACCCTCAATCCTACGTGCTCTGCGGTTGAGTCTGGTTGTCTGCTTTCTGCTGTGGTCTTTCATCACGTTCACTCCCCATTCTGGCATGCCTACTAGTATCTGTGTGGTTGTGTGTGTGTGTGTGTGGTTGTGTGTGTGGGGGGATAAGACAAGAACTTTACTGCCATCTAGTGGCAACAAAACCACTGCCCTTCCTGTGGGGTCAAGGAGATCAAGAAAAAGAAATGCATGGAAAACAGTGGTGTGTGGAGTGTTGTCTAAACACTGTTCATATACATCTCTCATGTGTCTTTGTGGTGGTTGATGCTGGTACTTCATTAATGGGAGTCCATATTAGTGTAGCAGGTCAAGTTAAGTCAATGAGCAAGTGCTAATTCCTCTGCAGTCCTGTGCACTGCCACTCGTCACACATTTGCATATAAATTGCTTTAAACGTGATGTTGCTGCTAAATTCCTTAACCACCACTTGTTTAAAATTCATGAATGCTTTTGAATTTTGTCAGGCATGGTTGAGCTGTCAAAAAAACCAAAAAAAAAAAAACCCTGCAGGTGTGCATGCGCACAGGCATTTGGCCTGAGATTTTGTGAAATTCTCTCCTATTTTGTCTGTGAAAAGCTCTGGAAGCTCCCTCTGTCTCAAGCCTTCTCTCTGTGTATTTCTTTGTGTGTTTGTCCCCGCACGCGTGTGTGTATTCAGACTCATTACCCAGTCTTGGCTGGTGAAGAGAGCCTTGTCTCTGTGGGCATCGATGTGTTAATGTACACTGTCTAGTTATCTCTGGTTACCATAATCAGTATTCAGAAACAGTCTCTGCTGGAAGTGCAAATATTTTGTTAATTTTCAAACTGGGACTTGCAAAAACATGCATGTGAAACACTTTTTCCCCCCTGTAGATGTTTTGCACCACAGCTAACCTATTTCTAACCTTTTAATCAACATGAACAAACCAAGGTAGAACAATTAAAATTGGGCATGTCACAAATTGTTTTGGGCACAGGATACACCCATGCTCTGATGCTGCCTATCTATTGCTAGCGGGGGATCGGATTTTAGACAAATTCTCTTGTTCAGAGTTAATTTGTGTCTGCTGTTTGATTGTTTGCCTCAGGAGGAACAAGGATAGTGCTTAAAGTAATTGAATGGCCCATTTACATTCTACTAATTGATTGTGAGGGTTTCAATGAGGTTTTTTTTTTTCCTGTGTTGCCCTGTATAAGACAGAGTAGAGTCCAGCAAGAAGCAGCAAATGAAACCTTTACAATCAAACAATAAACAGATCAAGTAATTGTAATATGAAAATATATTGGGTTTTTTCCAAGATTTCGAAAAAATGTATATATTAGGCCATAATGTAGTGGATTACACATTCACCTGACAAACAAAAGTTCCCTGGGAGGAGAGACAAATCTATTCTTGTTAAAAAAAAAATCTACCAAATCAGAAATGCAGTGCTATTGGATGTGGTGACCCCTTGTGACAAGAGAGCAGCTTTATTTGCTTTGGGCTACATAAATTAAACTGTCAGCCTTAATAAATCCTGATCAAAAGCTATACTTCATAAACACTAGACACTAGAAAGGACGGCTCTTTAGGTCATAAAAGTATATCTGTTTGTCATAACTACAGTGACCTGCAACTTCATGCAGTCAAAGCCAGTTAAGCAACAGTGGAATGCCTTTGATGTACCTGTACCTGCTTGTGCAGCTTCTTTCGAGTATGCGTGGCTATTTTACAGCATGCCCCTTTGAACTGTTTTGGGGTTTTGTTTTGTTTTTAATTTTTCAATTGCAGTGGCCATGTTCATGCGGTTTGTATCTAGCTTGCTAGCTGAAATTAAAAGAATACAAATCATTGCCTCTTGTTCATGCATTAGAAGGTTTTATGGGCTGTATTAAAGGCTGGAGCTTTGTGCTGCTTTTGTTATAACTGACTGATCTGAACTGAAGGTGTAATACGCAACATCGGGAACTGCCTCGTCTAGCGGCTAAAAAACATGAAAAATATTTAACTTCATCTGCAGGAAATGTGCTGTCTAACCACTTGAACAAAGAATGTTGACCGCATTTTCTCAGTCTGCCTTCATCTGTATGTGTATACACTCCTAAAGACAGCCTGTTTATGTTCCCTGGTCTCTGCACATCCCTGAGATTCACTTGTGTGAATTTTTTTCTTCTTCTTTTCTTCTTCTTCCTTTTTTTTTTTTTTTTTTGCAAGTCCTTCGCTGCGCATTTACATGAACCTTTGCACTTTGTTTGCTTCTCTAAACGTTGTGATGGCAGGTCTAAACAGGATGCAGGTCAGCTGAAATGGTTTACACAGGAGATCCCGATGCATTTATTGCGTTGAGACAAAGCTGCGCTGCTACACTTCAAACATCTACATGTAGCAGGAGTTGCAATGAGTTGCTGCACAGCTTGTCTTTACAGTTGAGCTATACATCTCCCCTCAGGCTCTCCAGCCCATCTTTACCAGCTTTGGAAACACAGATGAAAATGCAAGCTGACCAAATAGACTTCCTCCTTTGTAGTTACAAGTTTTTAGCAGCTACACATCACCTCTAGATATGGCTTCAGTGTTTTGAGCTTCAGTTGCTTAAATAATGTGCACTGTTTCTGATTTGCCAGCATGTCATTGTCTGCTCACCATCACCCTCGCGTCTGAAAGAGTGGCGTACCCTATGCTATTTGGTTGTGTCAGCAACACTGACTTTGGTGAGCCATCTCCTGGCGAGTGGATGTGGGACATTTCTCTGGTACCTATCCAAGCCTATGTCTGCCCCGCCATTCCATTCCTCACTGTTACTATCTGTCATCCCCTCAGTTTCTCCTTCCTCCTCTCCCATGACCTCAAGGAGTCCTCAGGAGGTAAAGTTTTCCAAAATGGGAAGATTGTTTTTTTTTTTTTTCCCTTCCTCCCCATCTGTCTCTTTGGTCTCGTTTTCCCTCTCACAAATTAGCATAGAAAAAGAAGAAAAAACACCCCAAACCTCAATGCTGAGTGACTCATTCAAATAATTGTTGCTTTAACTGTATCAAGTTACTCTTTTCTCTGACTCCCTTTTTGCTTTTCTTCCTTTCCCCAGTACAGTGCGGTATCTGGGCCACTTGTGAATTGGGGCCTTTCAGTGAAAAGGCAGGAAAAAAACGAGTTACATCAGAGAGAGAGAAAGAGAGGGATCTAAAGTCGCCCTGTAATTTTCTGTTCTGTTTCTGTGATTGCATATATGACCATAACAGACAACCGGTTAGCTGGTTCACTTTGTACGTGTACATGTATATTACATTAGTAAAGATCCCCCATGTGTCTGTGTTTTATTTTAGCATGTTTGCGCTGCTTGTGTGTCTAGGTGGAGCTTGACATTGTTGACTTTTACAGCAAAACAGTTTTACAGGAGGGCTGTTCATAACCGAATAACAGAGAAAACAAAGAGACCCTCGCGTGTGTGTGAGTGTGTGTCTGTGTGTGTGCAATGAAAAGACAGTAAGAACAAAGAGACAAGAGATGGCGAAAGAAAAGGGGAGTGTACGGAGAAAGAGGAAGGCCAGAAAAAAACTCCACTTTTGAGAAGGAGAAGAAATTTGAGACATGTTGAAACATTTTTGGATAGAGGAGAGGAAAAGGGCAAGACATGCGGAGTGAAGGATGAGATCCCTCCCCCTGCCAAACTCGAGTTATACTCTTGACTATTCTATAGCTAACCCTTCCTCTTTTCCCCTCCTCTCCACGTCCCATGTGAGCAGCAGCCCGATGACTGGACCTCTGTGTGTCTCCACTCTGCTTACGCTTTGCTGCGCTCTGGCAGACATGCATTGTTCTCCACTGTACACTACTTGTTGCTCCCATTTTTAAAGAGTTAGTTGGTGTTAGCTCGGCAGAAAGAGTGGGAGGAAAATACTCAGCGACAGCCTCGCGGTGAGTACTGACATTTTAATTTTTTAGAGAGGAATATTCTTGTCTCATTCATTTGTGGTGCCTGTCAAAAGGTTTTCAGTAACAAGTTTTTCTGAGGGATATCTTCAGTGGAAGATTTTTAAATAAGACAATCAGTTTGGCATGCCATGTAAAGAACATAATTCATTAGTTTTTTTTCATTGAGTAAGTTGGTGAAAGACATGCTCTGGTAGAGAGAGCCCTTTTAGCTCGGCTCTTGTTTCTTTTGCTGACTCACTCTATTAACTTATTTCATATGGCTCCGTGGTGTGTAGGAGTGTGTTGTGTGCATGTGTTTGCCATTGTGTATAGTTTCTTAAGGAATTCTGTACAGATGCACGTGTATATGTCATTTAAATGTAATTATCAGCCCCTGGCCCTACCTGATGGTGTAAATGTGAGAATTTAACAAAGATGGAGGGAGCAAAACATAGGGGGGGATGCTGGCATACAGCTGTTACTCACTGTTTGCTTCGCTCTCTCAGGTCTGTATTGATTTCCGTCTCTCTCCCCACTAAACGAGAACAATAGCTTCATGCCTGGCCAAGACCCCCCAGTAAATAACTCAGCTAAATATCTACAGCAAATCTCCAGCAAGATGTTGTTCATTGATTGCTTTGTCATCAGATGTGCACACACAAACACACACACATACATACGGAGGAGAAATACACAAACACTCAATCGGGCCTTGTCGTCTAGAGGGACTTCATTGTTTGGTGTGCATAATTGTTTGTGTGTATGTGTCTGTAAAGGCCTTGTCCAAAAAGGTCTTGGACAATGAAGTCTGTCACCGGGGGATGTGGATTTCTATCTCCCTCTCCTCCATCTCTCCCTTTGCTTTTCCTGTCCCAGTCTCCCTTCACATCTGGATCTCCCCACCAGCTGACAAGGAACAAGGGAGCGGATGGAGGGAGGAAAAAGGCATGGATTGGGGGGGAGGGAAAGAGAAGGTTAGAAATTGGAGGAAGGGGAGTGTATTTGAGCCAAAGTTCCCTCCATGCAGGAAGAGCAAACGTCACAATGTTATTGTGATTGTCTGATGTATGGGAGGAAGCGCAAACACTGCATGTG